GGGGGATTGAACCGCGGTCCCTGTGCTTTGCTAAGCTTGTTCTAAGTAGGTGCTTTAGACCACTGAGCCATCTCACCAGCCCCAGAAAGGCAGAAGGGTTTTTTTTTTTTTGGCTCCGAATGCCTTCAGGGCATGATTGGCTGGCTTAAGTTGTGGGGATTGAACCACAGCAACCTGAGCCTGACTGCTTTGTTGAAGCGGCCACTTAAAGAACTGAGCTAAGGGGCAGGTCCCCATATATTTTAATTCTGCCTTACAATTTCCCACCACAAATCTCAACTAAAGTGAGACAAAAAATTTCTTCCTCTGAAGGAATGGAACTAGGGTAAATTGGCAACCCTAAGATTTAACAGAACAGATATAATTATCATTTATTAATTCTTGTAGGAAAACACACCTTGCCAACACAGTAGATATTATAATGCAAAAAGTTAAGCAATTCATCTGACTTTCTTCGAAACTAAGCAGATTAATGAAGTCTGTGGATTCAGATCTGTACACTAATTTGCAATGAAGAGGTTTTATTTTTTCAATTTGTTTCCCATCAGCTTTTCTTTAAGTTTGTTTCAACTGTTATAAGTCTGTTTCCATTGTTAGACACCAGCTTTAGAATTTTGGTCTAATTTTTAAGTCATTTTAGCCAACTAGCAAAAGTCATGCATACTTAGGTTGCAGAATGTGATGTGTTATATGTAGACATTTGGGAAGAGACATATCTATCTATTTGACACATCCAACACCTTACATACTTACCATGCACAAGTGAAAATCACTGTAGTAAAATTGTATTTTCTTTATCTTTTCTAATTTTGGTCTTCAAAGCTGTATTAAGCAAATTATTTCTCAATCTATGTTTATTTGAGAAAAAGATACCGAAGTAATAGGGTACAGTGAGAGTTCAGAGGCGGGGGGAGGTCAGAGTTGAATCCAAAGGGGGCAGCAGAACATAATGAGATTGTGTAGTCTCTGCTGGGGCTTCCTGGCCGGGAGGCCCCGTTCTGTAGGCGTCGCTGTACCGGGTGAGCCAGGTCCTGTGACAGTCTTCTCTGTGGAGGAATGAGAATCCAGCAGGAGCCTGGCACAACTGGAAAGCCGGGGACATAAATCCTTCCTTCAGGGCTGTCGCTGTCACTCCAGCTCAGGGGTCCTGCAGGGACAGACAGAGGACAGGGGTGCTTCCAGATCTCACCTGGAGCACAGCTTCTCTTGTGGCAGCACTGCCACAGGGGGAGAAGGTGTCCTTGAACCAGTGCCCTTCAGAGCACAGACTTTTTGTTGAGTGGAACGAAGAAGTTTAACATCAACTGCCTGGTTAGACGTTGGAATTCAATGTCTTTTGCCGTGGCTTTCCCACATTTTCCCTCACACAATCTTGTCACAGCGATCACCTCTTACAGGAAGAACACATCTGCCTCTGAGAAGGCTGGAAAGAAATTACCTGCCAGCTGAAGTCCAGAACTTCCAGGGAAGGACAGGGTAAAGGGGAGAATAATGATATGGAGGCAAACCTGTCCTTGAACAGACTGTCCCATTTTGCATGTGCCCTGTAGGCTTCTGTGTCACCACAGCTCACTCCAGCCACCGCAGAGAGGGGAGCGCAGGTGGAGCACACGAGACCCAGGAAGCCTCCACCTCCAAGACCCAGTGCTCGGGGGCTCTTTGTCATTTCCCCCATTTTTCCAGAGCCATTATTTCTAATCTAGTTAACCTTTCTCTTTATACATAAGGTTTTAGCTCCTTCTATGTAAACACACCAACTGGAGACTACTCCTTTCAAATTCCCAGGAAATTCTGAGGTCACCTGGTGAAAGTGGCTTCGCAGACATGTGGAGGAAGACCCTGAAAGCCCTGCTTCTCACCACACGCAGCTGTGGAGAATCTCAAGCACCAACAAACTCCTCACCGTGCGATTCCTGAGGTAGATGAACAGCCCCGCCCCAAGGAAGAGCAGCCCCAGCACGAAGGCCCCGACTCCGCTCAGCATCTTGCTCTGTGCAGATCCCGACTGGGCCCCTGAGGGAAGAGGCAAGGTTCAGGGATATTTGCTGTAATCAAACTTTCTTCCCAAGTGACAATGACCTTCAAAGCCTTGAAACTGGAGGCAGATGCCTGCATTGGAAGAGAGAATTGGTCATTCCTAGAAGAAAAAATGAAGTCACTCTGAGTAGCAATAAGGCTTGTAAGTGCTGAATTCCTGAAAATACCACAGCACTGAAATAACATGCAAGGTGTAAAGTCTGTGTCGCTCAGTACAGTTAAGTGGCCTGTCTAGGATGACAGAGCTGAAGGACAGCAGAGCGGGAGGTGTGTGTGGTGTGTGTGTAGGGGTATGGACTCCCTTCACCTCAGGAGGGCCCTGCAGCCTCTCCTCCAATCACAACTTACAGCCCAGAGCAAAAGCATCAGAAACACAGGCCCAGCCCTGAGGCCGAGTTTAGGATAAGGGCAAAGGGCTGGCCTCACTTGTGACCTCATAGGATAGCTGTCTCACACACATAACTAGTTCCCCTAGTGGCACAGGTATTGCAGAAACTATGACAGAACTGCACCCATGACTGGTGCTGAAGGAGAGAACACGGAGGAAATAAAATTTATGGATGGGAGAAGAGAAACCTGAAAGACCACTTATGGGTGGGTGGGCATTTGTAAGGCCGGGAAGGTGCTCACTCACTCCACTCCACGGTGACAGGGCTGCTCCAGGTCGGGTGCTCCACCTGGCAGGCATAGACCTCTCCGCTCTGAGGAACAGTTTCCAGCATGACCAGGGTCTGGAAGGTCCAGTCTCCGTTCTGGATCAGGCCTGTGGACACCACCCCGGCCTCCTCCTCCTGGCCGTTCCGGAACCATCTGACTTGGATGCGGCCTGGGTAGAAGCCGCTCACAGAGCAGACCAGGAGGTTGTGGTGGGGCAGGGGCTGGGTCTTGGTGGGGTACACGGTCACCTTGGGCTGAACTAGGGGGGAAAGGCAGAGAAGCTGTCAGGAAGGCCGAGTGTCCCCCTTTCCCTGCCTACCTTCCTGCCTCCTTCACAGGGAGAGGTCCTGGTGAGCTAGCTCAAATCTGGCCGAGGGTCTAATAGGAGTCAGTGTCACGACCCTGGGATTAATCCAGACAGCAACGACACACTAGAGTTGAGCCTTCTTGAGAAACATGACTTCTCATACCTTTCCATCTGTCTCTGTCTGTCACATGTGGACACAGGTGGGTGTGCATGGGCACACACGGCCACTTTCCCGCCCCCCGGGCTGCCCAGGCCCCTGCTCACCTCTCAGGTGCACAGTCAAGGTCTGAACAGCCCAGTAGTTGAGCCTACAGAACGTGTCCACCGTGGCCCGCTCCTGCTCCAGGGCGGCCTTCCAGTTGTTCCAGAACTTGGCTGCAGACTCTCCCCGCTCTGTCACTGCTTGGAACTCTCCCACATCACTGTCGAATCGTGCATATTCCTCCAGGTTAAAGATATGTCTCTCTAGGAAGCGTACCCGTTCGGTCCCGTTGGAGAAATGACATTCTGATTTAACGTACTCCATGAAATGAGCTGTGACAACAGAGGTGACCCAGTCAAAGTCTGTTTTCTCAAGAGGAAGTGCCCACCACAGGGGCCTCCCCGAAACCTCATCTCCTGCAGGCAGAGGGAGCCCTGCTGACCAGGGTACCTTCTGGTCAAACGCCATTTGGGACCCAGCCCCCTTGGTTCTGAGTGAGAACAAGGCCCCGGAGCTGAATAAGGATTTGCTCCGCACTACAGCCCGGATCATCTCGTGCCAGAAGCCTCCATCCCAAATGCACCCTGCACTCAGACTCTCAGCTTGTAGCTCTGCCCATTCTCTGCACAGGACCATCTCCTCCATTCTGTACAATCTCCCTTAGGCTGACCTTGTGCCCGGCCCGTGCTGCCCCGGGGATCCAAAGGTGGGGAATCAAACATCTCCACTCCTAGAGCTCAAATTAGTGACGATGAGGGACAAAAGCTAAACACGCAAAGGTTGGACAAGAGTAAAGATGTCAGAAAGGAGAGTGTGGAGCTCCGCTAGCAGAGAAGAACAGGAAGATCTAAATGACAGTAAGTGCCAGAGAACCTTTGAGAAGTGACATTGGGGTTGTGGGCTAATATATTTTGGTCCACTAAGTGTGTTTTCATAAGTCATTAACATATAAGGGGAAAGGTTTAAGATTGCTTTCTTCATAGAGCTGCTAAGAGTTAAAATTCTACTGCATAATTTTAGATGAAAATAATATATAACCTTTTCTCCTTAGTAGGAGCCTTGGTCGTGAGGAACTGCTTGACAGCCCTTCTCTCTGTGGTTGAAACAGTGAATTTATGATCCAATTTGCGTCAGTTTTCACCACTGTTGGGTGGTACCTCTGGTTTTCCCCAGGGTCTTACTTACTTGCCCCTCCTTTAAAAATTATTATATAGAAGTAAGTTGGCTGTCACTGGAAGACTAGTTCAAGAGTTTCCCATGTTGTAAGCAATAAGCTTATCCTAAGATAAGGAAATGCTACTGGTAAAACTTCCAGAAAACTAGAGTAGGAAACAAAAGTTTTGTGTTCTATCAAGAAAATTCCTTATCTTTTCTGCTGTTAGGCTTTTGATTATTTAAACTGAGTTTTAAGGTTAAAGTTTAAGCATTTGCATGTTCTGAGATCTTTTTAATAATCAAATTGTAATTATTTAAAAGAGAGTGAGCAACTGCTATCTTAGATGACAGAACACCATATATATTCATATATTATAAATGTATATAAATGCAGATATGTTACATATATTTGTATGACAGCAAATCTATACAACATCTGAGAATGAAATATGCCATGTGTCTCATGTTTTTCTAAAGTTTATGGAGTTAAGATTATATAAGTTTAGTGCAGGCAAAGTAACCAAGTTCTTTTTCTTAAGAGAATACAATATTCTTTGGATCTGCGCATTGAAAATATAAAATAATTAAAGTTACTGGCATCTTTGCTCTTTATGTTTGGCACAGTCTAGACCCGCCTCCTGTAACTTGATCTATTGCTATTTGCTTTGACTAAACACGCATTTTTCTTATGGCATAAATGAAATAAGTACACTTCTCTATTGGGTGATGAGACTATCGTTACCGCCACTGTTTCCTAGCCTCGGAAGAGATCAAGGACTATTTAATTTTTGTGTCAGTGCTGCTAAACTTTGTAGATGTGTTAAAAATAAAAATAACAGGACTATGGCTATGCTCCCTCGCTATAGACTAAAATTTGTCTCATAACTAAAAAATAACTTAATATATATAAAAGACACAGCTTTGCCGCCAACTGTCGCTGACTTCTTGGTAGCTTACACGTGTTTAGGTCTCTCAAGTGTAGAAACCTTGTAAAGCACAAAACTTAGGAAAACACTTTGCTACATTGGTGTCTTCAATCAAAATAGTTCGTGATAATATAATTATCTTTGTATTTTCCTCATTGATTATAATAGTTTCATTTGCCTAAACACTGGACAGCCCAAGAACATCACGCTTATAGTTAAAGATTGGACATCAGTCAGCTAGAAGGTACCTGTGTGAACAAGGGTGTTCTGTTTGAAAGACACATCATTAGGGAAAATGACAAATGTTGATAAAGATTTTTGTCATCTAATATTTTGTGATTTGATAAGGGTGGCATATTATAGATGCTATTTTATATTAAAATGGGAATTTAAATGTGTTTTTATAGAAATAACAAAAAGAACCTAATGGCCCTGGCATAAAAATGTCATCCTCCTTGTTATCTACCAGCATGCTACAGGAATACGACTTCTAAGAGACAGGCTCAGGAGCATGCTACGATGTTAGGCCACCACCCACAGGATGGCCAGAACGGGCCTGGGTTCCTGGTGCCAATGTGGCCGTGATTGAGGGAAAGCCACGTTGACAAGCAACACTGTGGCTCATCCTGGCAAATGATACGAAAGTTAGGGGAAGACTTAAATGGCTAAGCGGCTTCTCACGTCGTCCTCAGAGTAATCCCCGAGCAAGCTGAAAGGGGAGATTCTTTTATCTGTGAAATGGATCATTCTCTTTCTACATGTCAGTGGGTCATTGATTGTTTTTTTCCTTTAAACTGAGGACAAACTTTCTATAAATCCAGATTCCACAGATTTCCAGTGCCAACAACACAGAAGTCTTCTGAACTCAACACTATAATGAGCTTTCTCTTTGCAAGGTCCTGCACTCTACTTTGGAGGGTGTGTATTTTTAAGAGTCTGCCTACTCAATCCTTTTCTGCTCCTCTTAAAAATGTGGGAAAAAACCCCCCTACATCTAGTGAAAACACTGATATCAAATTAATTTGTCAAAGCAGACCTGATGAGGTAAGGTAGAAAACTGTCTGGGATCTTTTAGGGTTCAGTCAGTCAGATGAGCTGCTGAAGGGTTGATGCACAGAATCACGCACACATACATGTATGACATACATGTATAATGTACATATTTTATACATGTGTGTTTTATATTTAAATGAACTGAGAAAATACCAAAAAAAGTGAGACTCTTAGAAAAAGACCGAAAATTTACTAGAATACTACATAGTGTTTTACACCATGTACATGCACAGGCATTCATAGGATGGGGTATGGCAGTATTGATTTTTTTTAATTTTTAAATTTTTTCCCATAATTTTATTGATAAACAAATAGCAATGAGACAGTTTCAAATCAAATTGATAGGACAGTTTCAATAATTAACACATTGCATACATTCTTCCTAGAGGTTAATTGCTGTACAAGATGCAGACATGATTTTATTTTTTTTTTAGAAGTTCCTGGCCCTTATCTTAGGAGAGAGTATGCTGATACTAATTGGGAAATGTGTGATTAATATTACAAAATCCAAAACCCTATTTTCCTAAGTGCATCTGTCCCCAAGTGTTTGAGGACTGGAATTTCAGAGGTGCATGTTTTGCCATATTACTAATCATAGTACAAAAAAATTCTGATTAAAAAAAGCAAAAGTGAGAGAAAAGAGATGGGCTTGTTGTCTATTAGAATAATCTAAGCGCAGGATGAGGACAGCTAGAGCTACGGCACAAGCCTGCCACATATAAAGTGGTTGCCGTGGGGTTTCGGATCTTCCTCTGGGTGGCATCCATCAGACCTACGGATGGATAGAGTGACCGCAGCTCACACAGATGTCAGTGCTCTGTGTGCCTGGCATTGTTCTAATGCTTTCCACCTGTCTCTTTTAAGTCCATCAACAGCTCTAGGGTCACCCAAATAGCTCAGTGGATTAAAGCACCTGCAAGCAGGCGCAGGGACTGGGAGTTCAATCCCTGGACCTGACAAGCAAGCCCTTCCCCCAGGGTGCGCTGAGACAGCGCTTGAGACTAGGCGTGGTGGTGCATGCCTGTAATCCCAGCCCTTGGGAGGCTGTAAACAGGAGAATCACTACGAGTCCACTCTAGTAGAGAGACCCTGAACATCCTGTAGACCCTTCCCTAAAAAATACAGAAAAAACCCCTACAACTCTAAAATGTGTTTGTTATTTTGTTTGAAGCATCTTGAATACAGACGGATTACATGCACTGCCAACCGTCACATGTACTGTGGAAGTTTGAGCAAGTATTTGAAATTGGAAAATCTGGCTGTGATTTCCTAATATTTACCCAGTTCATATAGTTCATTTAAAAATTCCTGGAGTGATAGCATCCACCATGGCTGAGTACAGGAGCCCTGTGTGTGGCACTGCCACGGGAAGTCCAAGACAGTGAAGGAAAACGATTTTGAGAACAATTGAGGGTAAATGCAAACGATCAGCAAGGAGACTATGGGATCTCGAAGCAGCATGGAATGTCAGGAAGGCAAGCTATGGAAAGGAACAGAGGAGCTGCACCTTCACACCCTGCACCTTCCCCCACTTCTGGGAAAAGCTAATCAGGAAGGCGCCGGCAACTTCACATTCTCCTATGTTCTCTTGCCACTTTCCCCATTTCTATCTCTTGGGTCCTTCCCTAATAGCTCCTCGTAGTATCCAAGTGACAGAAAATGAAAACAGACACACTGCCTATGCTCCTCAAACTAAGTTAGAACTTTTAGCCACTGAGAAACGTTTCCGCATGCCAGCGCATTCCCTTCCCCTTCAGGGCCGCTGTAGCCTCACGGTCTGCACTTGCTATCGCTGACTTCAGGATCTTCACCAACTTAAGCTCATGCTGACAGGGAATGTACTGAGCTACATGTGTGTCAGCTGCTGAGCAGGAAGCCTCCCTGACGATACCAAGCTGGCTGGCACACTAGCATTTCAAGAGCCATGAAGAACAGTAGCTAGCATGCGAAAGACCTTGCCTTAGAATTTTCCCCCTTCTTCTTTATGGGGTCAAAGAACACCTCATAGATGTCCTTATTTATGTGGTTATCCCCTACAGTAAATGATCTATGCTAGTAGGATGCTTTCCATAGATGAAGCGGTATCATCTCAATTCCATCAGCGTATCTCCTACACAGCCACGCAGGATTCATATGGCTTGAAACTCAGAGGAAAGCAAGAGTTAGTGGACGGGGGCTGGTGAGATGGCTCAGTGGTCTAAAGCACCTACTTAGAACAAGCTAAGCTAGGCAAAAGCACAGGGACCGCGGTTCAATCCCCAGCACCACATGCCAGCCAGCCCCGCCCCCTGGTGGGCTGAACTGGCCACACACACACTAAATAAATAAAGTAAAAAAAAAAAAAAAAAAGAGTTAGTGGACGACACCTAGTTACGCACTGGCCCAGGATGCAGGAAGCTATGTCACACATCCTGGTGAAGACATGATACCTCTTCTGGGAGAGATCCTTCCAATTTTCTTTGATTACTCATGGAATTTCCACAGAAAATTTCCTTTTTGCTGCTACAACTAGATATAATAAAGGAAAGGGCTAGATGGGAAATATTTTCATATTACTATTTCTATGTTGCCTCAAGGTCCTGATGAAAGGTAAGATGAGGCTGGAGAGGTTTGCTTGGAGCAGAGCTGAGCAGGCACAGCCTATCTGGAGGCACCATGTGCAGGCCTTGTAAGAGGATAAGCATCCGGGCTCCTCCTCTGTGATAATCATTTAGAATTTATATGATGAAGAGAAGTGGTCACAGAAAAACATCACAGTTTTAAGGGACTTGGCTTGGACAGAGTGAGCATATTGACTCCCTTCATTCTCCCTTTCACAGTACCTTGGCACCCGAGGTATCCACTTACATCTGGTGTCCCTGAGTGGAGCCCCAGGAGGGCTCAGCACCACCAGTGTCACCGTCAGAGCTGCTATGCAGGAACTTGCAGGGAGCCACAGACACATCTTGCTGGAAAACAGGAAACCGGGTGTTAGAGGAGCAGACAAGTCTCATGCAGTGAGAACCATGCCCCTGGGTACTCCCATCCTAATCCTCATTCCTGTAAACCTGGGTAGCTACAGTGTTGAGTATCCAATCAGCATCAGAGATATTTAGCATCATATGTTGCTAGGCAGAGATTCACTATGAGGGTAGTCCTCTGAAAGTTACAATTTCCTTCATTAAAAGGATTTCTTTATTTAATACTTTAAAGGTTTGATGCAGTCGCCTCTGCAATAGTTTGATTGGCCTACTGTGGTAAGCCAGCTCTGCTGACTCAGAGTCAATCTCTGAACCAGTAACTCCTTTTGGGGTGATTAACATTTTACGAGAAAGAATGCTCAGTTCCTTAGTTCTGGTTCTCATTGTGATTTTTTCATTGTATTGAGAACATGATCATTTGCTCCCCTCCACTTTCCTTATTCTAAGAAAAGGCATAAGAAGCCTTTGGTACGGAATCAGAATGCTCAGGACATAGAACACTCATAAAACCCTACAAATTACATCATTTAATGGAGTCATTCATGAGCTGTAATTCTATCATTAGGTCATATTATACATTATGTCGTTGTAAGTGTAATGTAAAGTGTGAAATGTACTTCAAAGGACAACTTACACACCTCTGCGATTCAGCATGAATATGCAGGTCGCCTCAGTTTCCAGGAGCACCCAGCCATTATCTGTCACAATATTTCTAGGGAGCGAGATTACCGTGCTCCAGCGCGGAAAGCCACTGAAGTTTCCCGAGTGATTTTTGAGGATTTTAATTTGCAGTCAGGATTTCCTGAGGGCTTTTTATGCATCTTACTTTTGCTAAATTCTCACATCAGCACAGCAAGATAAACACCCTTTTCAACTCAGCAGGTAGAAAGAAGAAAATAATTGAACGCTGGACACGTTTAGCTTTTACATCATATGATCACATATTCAAGTTCTGAGTAGAAATATATCCCTTATATTATTTTTATTACTTTCAATCATAGATAGTCACATCAACAAGGTTATTACCTTCAGTGAATGACATCATTTTGTGCAGTGTAGGTACAGTCATGTGGAAATTCCAGTTTCATTAAAATAGGCATCACGTCTGTTATTACACTGCTCTGGAGAGGACAGCTTTGTATCCATCATTTATAATGGCACCCGTGGTGTCACACAGTCCTTTCTCTCTTTTGCAGTGCTGGGAATCAAACCTCGAGGGCTGGCCCTTGCAGTTGCCAGGCAGGTGCTTGTGCCAGCAGGCTATACCCCGGCCCAAGTCCTCTTCTCTTGAAAGTTAAAAATGTTTTCAAAATTTCTAAAACCTCTGTATTGCTTTCAATCATTTATCTCAGATATCTTAATGTAATCTTAGAACAGATAGAAATAATATCTCACCTACTTTGGAAACTGCATTTTTATTATTGTAGGAAGTTCAAAATTTCTTGGAAATATTGGAAAGTATTTACTATCGCCTTTTCTTCCTCTGAGCAGTTTTATTCATAATAGCTCAACATCGGACACAGCCTAACTATTCCTTGACAGGAAACAAGGTATTCAAAGTGTGATATTTCATAAACAAACACACAAACAAAAGTAATATTGCAATAACTTAAATGAACTTAAAGAAATCTGATGAATTTAAAAACTTAATTCCTGAAGGTTCCAGGATATGGCCACCTACATAAACATATTTAAATAGCAAATTATGTTGATTACTTGTTGCTGGAGACTGCGGCAGCAGATTGAGACAGGTGTTACTGTAAGTCCAGAGCGGGGGCCGGGGAGGTGGCTCAGTGGAATAAGCGCTTCCCTGGCAAGCGCAAGGGCCGGAGTTCAATCCCCGGTTCCGCAAAAAAAAAAAAAAAACTTACACAATCTGTCACAACTTATAATTTGTTTTGTATTCAATGTATTTAAACCTGCTACACTTCATGAAGAAAATGTATATGAACACTTGCATATAATGTCCTTATATAACTAAAAGGAATGTTTGTTTTCCAAGCTGTACATACAGAAAACTAAATTTAGTGAGGAAACAAAGATTATCATCAAAGACATCCATAAAATTAGAAAAATAGTTACCTAACATTCATCTGTATCCCCTTTTTTTTGTTAAGTTCCGTTATTTGAATTTTATAGGTGTGTAAACTCAGCAAAATATTCCAAAAGAGTCCAGTAGCCCATAATAGTATTGGGTCTTCT